CGAAGGCGCGGTCCACGGGCAGCGCCGGGAAGGGCACGGGCCGCAGCGCGAACTGCGGGTGCGGGAAGCCGCACGTGGGCGACGGCAGGACGCCCGGGTACTGCGCGCTCTCCAGGGCGGGCACGGGGATGGCGCTCACGGCGGCTGCAACACAGGACAGAGGGTTAATTCCCGGGCTCGGTGACGGCCACTGAAGCGGTGAAACGGTCGCATGTTTACACGGTGCGGCCCCTCGCGGGCCCCGGGGCGCTGCGCTCACCTCCCGCCCCCGGCCTGCCCGAGCCTAGAAGCCGCAGCCGCTCCGCCTCAGCAGCCTTAGCCTGGGGCGAAGACTGCCCAGGGCCTCAAAGAGGGTGACTACAGCCACCGAAGAGCCACCGGGAGGCTCCCTGGGGTTTTGTTTTGTTTGTTTGTTTGTTTCTCTATTCTTTCTCTTAAGCAAGAAAAGTGTCATTAAAAAAGTTGGGTTGTTCAGAAACTGAATGCGCTGTGTGGAGTGGGCTGAGGAAATGAGAATTCCTCGAGAATTTTGTGAAAGAATGTAATGCGTGTGAGAGAGGCTGGAGAGAAAAAGTGAAGGTATATTCCCAACATTATACTTAGGATTTACATTTAAGTAGAAAGAAAATACCTTCAGAGAGTCAGCACAGCGCAGCTTAGTGTCACATTAATTTAAATAGGACTGTTTTCCGAGAACACCAAACTCTTTTTACTTACACTGGCTGAAGCTCACAGATGAATATCTTACACAGTATTTTCTAGGTTTAGTGACTATTGTTAACTCCATTATTCAATGCCTATTTAATTACATCATATTGTGAAATATTTACTCTAAACGTCATCAATCTTTATCTTGTATCATCTTATAAAATGTCTAGTATTCCCTATCTCTTATTAACAAGAAATAAAATGTAAGCCTTATTAATAAAATATTAAATTTAAGCCAGCTACTGGGATCATCAATTTTAGCAATACATGCCTATCTATGAAACTAATAAAGTGATTTCTGTTATATACATGATTTTAATTAATTACACCCAAATGCCAACTACTAGAGCATTTAACATGCACAGATATGCACAATTACCAAAGGAAAACCTTTCTATTTTTTATCACACTTCTATTACCCAAGTAATTCATAACCATAGATACAAATTATATTGCATTATTGTAAATTAGAAATGACATGTAGATTTAAAAACATATTTCTAATTAAAATGCATATCAATTAACTATATTAAATATACACTTTAAATCAAAAGGGCTGCTTCTAGTAAACTGGCTTTTAGAATTGCATTCCAGACTTTATTTTTCCTTGTATTTATAATACTCCTTGAAACACATATTAACATGATTATTTGAATTGAAAAATAGGCTTATTCAGAAACAAATTTTGACTGATGTGTTTGACATTGAGGACTAATTATCTTATGTAGGTGAAATGATGATTGTATTCCAAGAACTGTAAAAAAATATAAATCTTAATAGGATGAAAACATTTTTCAAAAATTATATTCATAAATGTATATAAGTGATATTGCACTGTTTCCGATTCTGTCTTACTACATGATAGTCTACAAGGTACCTTATAAAAGTACTTTACAGGTGTACCTCCTAGTAAAGGAGCCAGTGAATAGCTTGAATGATTAACAAATACTTTTAAAAGTCAGGTGGTTTCTAGAACTTTTACTTTCAACATAATTAAAGAAGAACACAATCTAGTTGTTGGTTGAAATATCATTAAAAATAACTTTGGATGAAAGTTCACAGTATAATTTTGGTCCATAATTTGGAAGGAGTTCAAATCATTGAGTCATTGCTATAAACGTCTCATTGTTAAACNTGAAATATCATTAAAAATAACTTTGGATGAAAGTTCACAGTATAATTTTGGTCCATAATTTGGAAGGAGTTCAAGTCATTGAGTCATTGCTATAAACGACTCATTGTTAAATTCATCCACACATTTATGTAGTTTCTTCATATTTAGATCAATAAAAGAAACCATTGGAAAGAACTTATGCAATAAGTAACATTCATCCATAACTCTATTATATAATTGTATAAAAAAGCCTCATTCAAGCCATTAAATGATAGGATTCTAATAAAATTTTACTTTCTATACAGTTGCACAGAAATAATTGTAATGTTAACCCAGAAGAAAAAATTAGCAGTTAAAAGCTTATGCTCACATAAGTTTATAATATAAACATATAATTTGTTTATAAAGATATTATGTTGCAAACAAATAGGATAAGTTATGAGTAAAAGACAGTCATAAAAATAGATGGCATTCTGGGGCAAGAATGAATTGTAGGTATCAGTTTAGGAGAAAAATGAGTGATAAGTTATTCTCTGTAAAAGGGGAGCTTCCTCATGCAGCTTGTAAATATGATGGTGAATATCAAATCAGTGGTATTTTTACGGTTTTGAGTTTATTTGAAATAGTAAATTATGTCTGGCACAGATATAACAGAATATTTTCAATGTTAAATTAAAAATGGCTATGATGACATAAAGCTGCCCTAAATTATGTTTTGGGAAGACTCGAGTGAAAATCTGAGAAGAAATGGTATATGCACAATGCCTTAATAAAGATATTTTACAAAGAGTAAGTTGTGGATATACAAACACATGAACATATTCCAAAAAAACGGAAAAGAAAAGAATGACCAAGAGACTTTAACAAGAACAAGAGAGACAAGCCGGGCACCCCAGGCAGAATGATTAAAAATTCCTCAAAGAAACAGGCTACACTTTTTTTAAATCCTCACCTGAGGACAGTTTTTATTGATTTTCGGAGAGAGGGAAAAGGAGGGAGAAAGAGAAACACTGCTCGGCTGCCCCCCATAGGTGCCCTGACGGGATGGAGCCGCAGCCCAGGCGGGGGCCCTGGCAGGGAACCGAACCTGCGGCCTCCTGGTGCCTGGGTGATGCTCCAACCACCTGAGCCATCCAGCCAGCGCGAGGTTAGAATTTTGTAGCCTTTGTGTCCCTCACAGTACAGTGCTAGAGATACGTTATAGTTTTCAAGTGAGTTAATAAGAAAAAACTTCTAAAAGTAGTATTTATAAATCTGTCTCAATTCATATTCCAGTTCCAAGTTCTTCATTAGTGAAGAAAGAAATTCTATTTGGTAAGCATGTTGCATGTTTGGCTATTGATCTGTGTACAAAATATTTGCAAATAACAGTCGTTTTAAAAATAATACTAATCTGTTGTATGTTTCTGCATCTCAAAAACTCTCATTTTATTTCCTGACATGACACTGTCAGTATTCCAAATCTTTGGTTTTAAAGTATTTTGATCCATGATTGATTTCTAATAGGGCACAGAGGTATACGCTTACTTATAGTACAGTTGTTGCAAAAAGAATCATCCTAACGTTGGATACAACACTGTATTGGAGTCCTTTGGTATTTTCCCTGTAAATGTCAGTTTTGAGAGCCAGAGGCGCACACACACTCACACTATCATTCAAAACATTCACTGTATTGCTATGTTTATGCAAAACATCTCAGAGCGACATCATCAAGCATTTTCAATAAATTTCTGCTCTGTGGCCAAAATATAACAACAACAACAACAATAACAACAACAAAATCTGTTCTCACACAGCTTGCTGACAATTGAATTTATATCTCACACTGATATACAAAGATTTTTCAAGTAGAAATCCCCTTGCCAAATTACTTAGCTCCCTGAACAGGGCAGGCTGGTATTCGAAAACTTTTACAACATTCTTCAAAAGGTTAGCACTAAGTGCAACCTTTAGGAAAACTAAAGTGGAGATTACTTTTAAAGTTATGATTTAAAAAAACTGATCCCTCTGTAGATATTTCTCAAAATGATACTTGACGGAATTGAGAGAGTTGTTGAGGAGGAGAGATCGACAAATATAGTTGTAAAGATAATATTTTGAAGTGAAAAGATTTTAAGTGAAATGGTTTCTCATTGCACCTCTTCTTACCATCTCCTTTCTGCAATGACCTGTGTATAATCTGGGCTATTTGGAAATTTAGTGTCTGTTGCTTTTGATAAATATTCTTATCAACTTCACATTTTCAGGTATCCTTTGACAAGCAAACATTGCTGAATAGCATCCACAAGTATCCAAAGAGGCCACCAAAGTCCCCTCTAGGAAAAGTAAGAACATTCACTAATATATGTTCTGCATTTTTAGACATAGTGGTAAAGAGCCCAAGCACCGGGGTCTAACTGCCTGGATTCATTATCAAGTTTGGTCACTGTTAGTGAGTAAGTGTCATAGCCGGTATCTAGATGCTCCCTACCGAGTCCCATCTCATGGTATTTGCATCCTGTGGGTTCCCTGCCGTGTTTCACCTGGGTTGACCTGCTGATGAGGAGAATGCAGCAGAAGTGATGGTGTGCTACTTGCAAAATTAGGTTGGAAAGATTTCTCTCCCTCTCTCCCTCTCTCTCTCTCTCCCTCTCTCTCTCTCTCTCTCTCTCCCTCTCTCTCTCTCTCTCTCTCTCTCTCTCTCTCTCTCTCTCTCTCACACACACACACACACACACACACACACTGCTCACTATGGGAAAAGCCAAGAGTTATGTCTTGAGGCTGTGCCAGCAGACCTATGGAGAGGCACTTGGGACCTCAGTCCAAGGGACTGTGAGAAACCTACTGAGATCCTGAACCAGAACTACGTAGCTAAATACTCCTGGATTTCTGACCCCCAAAGGCTATTGACAAAATAAATGATTCTTTTATGTTGCTATGCCTTGGGGGTACTTTGCTCTGCACAGTAAAAGATAACTATATATCGACTTGGGCAAGTTACTTAAGCTTTCAATTTCTTAGTTTTCTCATATGTAAAGTGGAGAAGACAATAGTGCCAACTTTACGGTGTTGAGGGGGTTAAAGAGCTCACTCACAGAGATGTGCAGCAGACTGGGGCTCTTTTTTTATCATTTATAAATTGGGTATTTTCTAATAAAATTTTCTGATATATTAAGGGCAGCTAAAATTGTTTTCATTAAACAGAAATGGAAACAATGAACTTAGAAGGAAAGAGAAATGAAATCTAACAAGTGTTGTGAACTTCTGAATATTATTCATTTGCTAAACACCTTGCTAATTATTATCTTATTTAGTTTTCATATTATCATGTGCTGAGAGC